TCCTAAAATTATCTCTCTGGTCTATTACCCACGTCAATTGTTTTTCTAAGGAGATATTTCACATTTTCTTTTATTTTTTCATGCTTTTGACTTTGTTTTATTGTTTCTTGATGTCACATGAAGACATTGGCTTCCAGTTGCCCAATTTTAATTTTTAAGGAATTTTCTTCAGTGAGCTTTTGTATCTTTTTTCCTATCTGGCCAATTCTACTTTTTTTTTTTTTTAGGCAATTGGGGCTAAGTCACTTGCCCAGGGTCACACACAGCTAGTGTCAAGTGTTTGGTCTGAGGCTGGATTTGAACTCAGGTCCTCCTGACTTCAGGGCCAGTGCTCTTTCCACTGCACCACCTAGCTGCCCCTCCAATTCTACTTTTGAAGGAGTTGTTTTCATCGGTGAAATTTTGTATCTCTTTTGCCATTTGGCCAATTCTCTTTTTTAAGGTGTTATTTTTTCCAATTTTTTTTGTGCCTCTTTCACCAAGCTGTGAATTGACTTCCCATCATTTTCTTGTACTGCTTTAATTTCTTCGACCAGATTTTAAAATTTGATTTTGAAAATTAATTTTTAAAGCTTTTCTAGGAATTCTTGTTGGGCTTGTATATAATTAACATTTTTTCTGTGAGGTTTTGTTCATGGCTCTTTTGGTGTCATTGTCTCCTTCTGAGTTTGTGTTTTGATTTTCCCTGTCACCACAGTAGCTTTCTATAGCCAGGTTCTTTTTTTTTTTAATTTTTAAAATTTTATTTTTTTCAGGTTTTTTTTTCTCATTCTATTCCAGTCTATTTCTTGACTTTGAACTTTAAGCTAAAGTTGGGCTCTGTTCCTGGGGTTGAGGTGGCAGAGGGAGGGGTGGGAGCACACTGTCCCATGCTTCAGGCTTTTTTGCACTGCTGTTTTTAGAGCTAGTTCTGGATGGTTGGATATTTTCAGTGCTTCCAAGGTGGTGTTATCCTGGGAAAGGTGTGGTCACTGCTCTCTTGATCTGTGCCCTGGTCTTTACCTAGGAAGGGACCCTGATCCCTTGCAGTCACAAGCTCCTGCTCCCACTACTCCTTAGGGTCCCTGCTCCTTTGGGACTGAAAATATTACTTTTGTTTCCCTAGAACTGTGACCTGGAAGTGGGTATGGTCAATGGAGTTGCCAAACAGGGCCTTGTCCTACATTTAGTGCTAGCATGGGCATCCCCTGTAAGCTTTTTCTCACCAGTTGCCAGATCCACTTACTGTCCCTGGCTCGAGAGCTCCCAAAGCTGCTATTGCTGCTGCCTCCAAGGCCCACAGCTGCTGCGGCTGCTGGGTGGGCTCTGTGCCAGATCCCAATTCAGCATCACAGACCTCTCCTTTTGACTTCCCAGGTTGTGTTGGGTTGGAAAAATGTCTCACCTTGAACTTTTCTTGGTTCAGATGCTTCAATATTTGATTTGAGGCATTATTTTAAAGCGATTTGGAGTGGAATGTTGGGAAAGCTCAGCTACTTCCTCAACTTTGCCATCTTGGCTCTGTTCTCTGAAGTCTCCAGAGAAGGCTTTGTAGAGAAGGCAAGAAATGGGTAGGAAATGGAGTGATGGAGAGGGTATTCCAGGACTCCCTATTGCCTCCAGGATCAAATACAAAATGTCCTGCTTGGCATTTTAAGCCCTTCATAACCCAGCCCCCTCCTACATTTCTGTCTTACTCTCTGAGATATCCTCTTGAATCCAGTGACACTGGCCTCCTGGATGTTTCACAGAGAAGACACTCCATCTCTTTACTCAGGGCATTTTTTTTTCTGGCTGTCCCACCATGACTGGAACACTCTTTTCTTCCCTTTGACTACTGACCTCCTTGGCTTCCATGTCCCAACCCAAATTCCACCTTTTACAGAAACCTTCCCCAACCTCTCAATTCTAGTGCCTTCTCTCTCTTACTATTTCCCGTTTATCCTGTACGTAGTTCACTTTGCATACATTTATTTGCATGTTGTCTCTTTAAGAGCAAGGACTGTCTTTTGCTTCTTTTTGTATTCTCGGTGCTTAGTACAATGCCTGGCACATAGCAGTCACCTACATGTTTATTGACTGGTTTCACCTACATGTTTATTGATTGGTTAAGTAACAAAAGTCACAGATTCAGGAACAATTCCCATGGACTATTCAGGATGGAGTAGAGGGCTCTTGGTGTGCAGTAATGAGGGATGAAATAGGGTAGGTTCTGATTGTGATGTCAGGGAATCACATCTGTATGAGGGAAAAACAACTGGTAGTGCCTACAACTGGGACACCGCCATCATTTATTTGCCCTTCCTGGAAGGGCCAGCAGGTTCCCAGAGGCCTAAACAAGAGCTGACAAAATATACCTTGTATTTACCTCAAAGGCTCGAAGATTCCAAATGCAATAGACTTCTAAGTATACCTGCTGTTTGTTGGGATTTTGGTTTTTAATAGATTTTCATATAAGAAAGCATAGCTAAGCAGATCAAGTTCTCTATTCACGCTCTCAGTTGTCCACCTTGATTGTCATGAGCATGAATCATAATATAGGCTCCACTAGTTGGCTCCTCCTAGGCTGTGGGTGGTGTCTAGGAGGAAAGAGCCTTCAAAGGGTGGCCACAGAACCCCGGCGGGGGATAGGGAGTTGAGTGTCCCAGGAATTTGTTCTTAGACCTGTTCTATTGCCACTTTTAGCAATGATTTGGATGAAGCTTAGATGGCATGCTTACTGATTCTGCAAATGATACCAAAACTGGTAGAGGCAGGGAACACACTTGATGACAGTCAGGATCCCTCCCAAAAGTCCAACAAGTGGTAATCAGGGGTTGATTGGAAGATAAAATTAAACATAGATAAAGCTAAAGTCCTACTCTGGCATTAAACAAAATCAACTGTGCAAATACAGAATGGGGAAGAAAAGGGTAGATAACATAAAAACAAAACAAACCTGGGGGGAAGGATTTAGTCGATTGCAACTGAATGAGTTGGGGGGGGGGTGACATGGCAATCAAAAAGGGAGCCTCAGGTTGCCTCGATTACCGAAGCACAGAGGCATGGATAGCATCAAATACCCAAGAGAGGCGACAGTCCCAATGTCCTCTACTTTGACGGAACCCACAAATGGAGCATTGCAGTCAAGTCACTAATATTTGGAAGCCCATTCTGAGGAAATAATGAATTTGGTAAGAAGATGGGAACATCAAAGGAATTAAGGATGTTTCATCTAGAAAAGGCTCAGGTCTCTTCAATGCTTGAAGGGCTCTCATATGGAAAAGGAATTAAAACTTCCTTAGCCTGACCCCAAGAAGTTAGAATAAGGGGCAGTGAGCAGAAGTTGCAAAGAAGCAGATTTAAGCTCAGTGTAAAGAAAAACTCAGAAAGAAAAAAACAGAGATATTAGGGAGGAGGTAAAACCAGCTGTCTAGGGAGGTAATGGATTTCCCTTCATTTGCCATCTTCAAGGAAGTCTTTTGTCGTTCAGTCATGTCCGACTCCTTGTGACCCAATTTGGGGTTTTCTTGGCAAAGATACTGGAGTGGTTTGCATTTCCTTCTCCAGATCATTTGACACATGAGGAAATTGAGGCAAACAGGGTGAAGTGACTTGCCCAGGGTCACATACCTAGTACATGTTTGATGCTGCATCTGAACTCAGGTCTTCCTGATTGCAGGCCCTTTTACTATGCCACCTACCTGGCCCTCAAAGAGAGTCTAGATCAGAACAGTAACTAGGGCAGGACAGTCCCAGCGTGCTGAAATCTGGAAAGGCTGACATTAGAAGTCCTTTAGTAGGTTAAAATAAGGTCACTTGACTCTGTATACCCAGCACTTAGCACAGGGCCTGGGGCATAGCCTTAATAAATATTCACTGACTGACCTAACATCTACTTAATAAGGATAATTAAAACAGGCAACTGCTGGCTAGTGGACAGGTGGCCAAAGCCCAAATGAGTCCTTCTTGGGCCTGTAAATGCCCAGTTCTCTCCTCTCAGCATTGAGCGTGTCTCACACCTCTTGCGCTGGGTGCTCAGACGGCTAGTTACAGATCTGAGGACGCCTGCCTGTTAGTAAAGTTGTAGAGTGGGATGCCTTTTCAGCTGGGGGTCAGAGTAGATAATAAAAACAGCTAACATTTATATAGCACTTACCTGTGTCCAGCCTGTGCTAAGCCCTTCACAACTATCTCATTTGATCCTCACAACAACCCTGGCAGGTGGGTGCTATTATTATTTTCAGTTAAGTGACTTGCCCAGGGTGACACAGCTAGGAAGTGTCTGATGCAGGATTTGAACTCCGTGTCCTGCCTCCAGGCCCAGCACTCTATCCACTGTTAGAGAGCAAGTTTTACAACTTGGTAATTAGGTACAGAAGTCACCCAGTCTCAAAGGGACATAATGAATCACAAACCTCCCCTAAACTGCCTGGGTTATTGACATGAGCCTTGAAAAATGACAGATCTAGCTTAAATCCTGCACTTTGTGTTCCTTCTTTCCCAAAGCTTCTGAAGGGGGTGAGGGAAGGGGGTGGTGCAATTCCCTCTTTGCCCTGAGCTTCCTCCCTCATTTCACCTTTTGGGATCTTCTTCCTAGTTCTCCATCCTTACCTTTGAGTCCCTAGCCTCCTGCCTCTGACTCTCCTGCCAGTCCAGGCTCCTTAGGAATCCTCAGTGCTGGCTGGCTTCATCATCCTTCCTCAGCAACATGTACTATGGGTTCAGAGGAAGAAGAGGGGACTACATACATCCCAGCAAACTTCTGACCTGTGAAGCGAATTCCATTTAATAAGCAAAATATTATTAATCACATCAGGCTGGGGAGGTGAGTTGGTCAGAGAGAAATTTTGATCTTCTCTTAAAAAGCAAACAAAAATGCCTTGAACTCTTGATAGGGAATGAGCTGCTGAAAGGGGAAGAAAAGGCATAAAAATAAATATTGTGCCAGAGTGCTGCGTGGGAACAAAAACCATGCTCCATCACCACTTCATTCTCTTGGCCAAAGTAAGAGGTAAATAATTTCCACCTGAGCACAAGAGCCCTGCCCAGCAAAAACAGCACGATTTTATTATCTCCTACTACACGTAAAATAACTAGATTTTGACTGCTTCTCTCCTCCCCATCATCCCCTGAAAGTAAATTGGCATGCAAAATGAATACAGGACTAATCTGAGTTATTTGCCTCCTTTTTTTTTTTTTTTGATTATTATTACGAGACAGTAAGTCTGTCACACAGAGTATGGGAGGAAGGGAGTCTAGGCGGCCGGTTTTCCAGAGCCGAGTGAGAGACAGTGGTGCAGGGGTGAGCCTGGGTGAGGAGCCAGGCCGACTCATGCATCTTGGCTCCCAGCCTCCACCACCCCTCAGGCTGGCAATGTAGTTCTGGTAATTGTCCCTCTCTCCAGCAATAGTTGGAGGCTTTGGCCCCCCAGCTGTGTGGCTGGCCCGCTGAATCCCTCCACTGTGTGGTTAATTAAAAAAGAGAGACAGAAAGAAAATGATTTGTTGGGGCACCAACTTGCTCCTCTTCGGCTCAGGAGAACATCAGCTCAGCAAGGCCCGATGGTAGGGGGAGGAAGAAAGCTTGGCAGCCTGGCTGTGTCTGCTGCCTCCCTTGACTCCTTAGGCTGCTGAACTCCAGAGCTGTGCTTTCTTCCTGCTGAAGCCCTTAAGTAACTCTTTTCCTATACTTTACTAAGGGTCCAACAGTCCCACCCAGGCTCTGAGTCTTGGGGGGTGGGGGAAAGGTATGGCGGCCTTGCCAAACTTCACTTCTTGGTGCCTCATGGGGAAAGGACAAGGATCAAACCGCCACACATAGTGGTTCTGCTCATCGCTTTCAAAGCTGTGAACTGTTTTCTAAGCCCAACCTAAATGCAACTTTTACATTTAGTTGACAATCAAATGATTTCCTCTTTTTACAATGAGAGGTCTGCTGTTTCAGTTTTCAGATGGCTTCCTTCCCAAAGCCAGAGATCTAAGGGGAAAGTAGCTAAGAATATTATTCTGGGTATGCTATATTGAGTGTTTTTATGTCTTACATACACCATTACTATGCATGCTTACCTAAAAGACAGTTTCGGTAGGAGCAGGAAAGGAGCCGTATGCCCTGGGGGAGGGATACTGACTGACTAGGGAGCACTGAGCCCAGGTCCTGGCGATGCCACTAACTAGGTCATGGCCTCTGGATGACGGGCTCAAAAGAAGATACCATCTGCTCTAATCCTGTGGCTGCTGGGAGGCTCAAATTGGGTAAGAGAGAAAAGGGGCTTTGACAGCATAAAGCTCTATATGAATGTCAATTCTCATAATCTGACCTTTTTTTAGAGTGGGGAAGGACTGAGTGAGAAAAGCTGGTCAGAGGGTCATCTGAAAAAGCCAGTCAGCCCAAAGTCACTCTGGACCTCTCATACTGGAGCAAGGAGATGTTGCTCCCAGAAAGACACCAAATGATATTAGGTCTGAAAAAAGAGACTCATATCTAACATTGCCTGCCTGGCACTTGGATTTCTTGGTTGAAAAGAACACAGCAAGCTTAAGCATCTTAAAAAAGTGGCACTGGTTTGGATATCTCCCCCCTGTTCTCCCAAGTTACGATGGAGCCACATTCATTTCTGCAGCTTCTGAGATGAACAAGCTGCAGATGGTGGAGGCTGAAGTCAGATGGTGGCCGAGATGCCCCTGCTGTCCCCAGTGCTTCCTTCAAGGAAGCTCCTTCCTGAACATCCCCTCTCTGGCTGAATCAGTGGCTCAGTGCAGAGATGCAAACAGGAAGGCTTTCTCATCCAATGGGAAGAGAAACACGTGCTTTTTGTCTTCACAGGGATTTGGCTATTAGGGCCACCTCCAACTCGAAGGCCTCTCTAATCCCACCCCAGCTACAACAGTCTTCCTTAAACTTCTCACAGGCCTTTGTTCAGCTCTCTGCTTTGACCTTATCCCACCCTGATTCAGTTGTGTGTACGGCTGTTTCCCCCATTAGGCTTGATCCCTAGGAGGAGGGGGTTGTGGTGGTAGGGATTGCTGTAACCCTTGCCTTAGCAGAGTACCTAACCTAGAGTTTAATCAATGTTCACTGAATGGATTGAATTGATCTTTCCCCCCTTCCTCCTGACTCCCTGAAAGCAACAAAATAAGTTGCTTTCAAAATTAACCTCTTCCCCAATGACCATTACACAGTCAATCAATTCACGGGCACCCCCTGGCCTCTATTTTACTTCCAGCTCAGAAAGCAGGGGCAGTTTTAGAGCAAGGAATCCTCTTCCTTCTTGGGGAGGATGATTTGCGTAGAAGCAAAGGAAAATAAATACACAAAGCTGGTTAAATAAAAGGAGGCCTCCTTAAAAGGTAACCAGATTTATATGCTTTTAAGTTTCATTTCCCTGAATACCTGTTCAGTCAGCTTGTTCACTTGGCTTTTTCTCATTTACCCATTCTTAGCAAAAACAAAACAAAACAACAAACCCAAACAGAAAACCCCAAACAATCTCTTCTCCCCGCTCCTCAAAAAAGTCCCTCTGAACACTTGAACAAGGAGTAAGCAGTATTATGCCAAGTTCATAAAGCATCAATTCTCTGGATAAGCTCTAGGTTTTCTGTTGAGAAATCAAATTAAAGGTCACATATCAGACTTTTATTCTTATTTTTTTTTGTCCTTTTCTTTTTTGTGCCACATTCTATACTTGGCGCTCTCCTGCTGTCTGGTATGAAATTTTAAAGTCAAAAACTATACAAGGTTAGAAAGCTCCATTCTCTGTAAGCCTCAGCTCTAGAGTACACATAGGTCTGTCTCTTCCAGGAATAGGTAACTAGAAGAGTTGCTTTGCATGGGGTGGGGTGGGGCAGGGAGTGGAGAAGGCAGGTGCGGGCCCTCAGCCTGAATCCATTGTGAATAACTGGATGTCCTGTGGGTTCCAGTATAGGGCGACTGCTGAGTTGTACACAAGAGACCAGACATAGGGGATGAAGAATTCCTCAGGCTGCTCCTCTTCCACATACTTGAACTTCAGCTCTGGAAATTTCTGAAAATGGAATGAGATAAATGTAATTCCCTGTTACACTTGAAAACTTTCTGTTGCCCCCACCCCCAACCCCTAAACAACTTAAATGGAGTAAATGCCAAATCTGTAACACGTTCTCACCATCAGCCAATGTGCCCTCTCCCACTCTTCCACTGCACAAGGACAAAAGTGATAAGAAATATCATTGTATGTAGGCAGAGGAGGCTGTTGCCTGCGTGGTGTGATTTGTGGGCAGGATTCTCTACCTAAAAATGTCTCCTCTACCATTAGAGAATTGTTCCTTAGGATCCTGTAGGCATTTTGGTTTTCAAGCATTCCTAGTGAAAATGTAAATACCTCTGGAGGGGTTCAATCATACTTTACTAGTTTGTACATGGTAAAAGGGCCTGAAATCATGAAGTCCCGAGTTCAAATCTGGCTTCAGACACTTACTAGCTGTATGTGACCCTAGGCAAGTCACTTAACCCTGTTTGCCTCAGTTTCATCATCTGTCAAATGAGCCGGAGAAGGAAATGGCAAGGAAACTGGTTACTCCAGTATCTTTGCGAAGAAAACCCCAAATGGGATCACGAAGAGTCAGACACGAGTGAAATGACTGAACAACAACAACAAAAGGGATTAGCTAGCTGAAAGCAAGAGCCCATGGGAACAAGCGAGGCACAGGACAGGTACCTACGAGGATGGGGGCATCAGGAGGAGGCAGGGAAAGGCCAAGAAGGGGAAGCAGGTGAAAGCTCAAGTAAACATCATCGACTCCACAATTTAGATCTGGCTCTACCTGGTAGACATGTTATTCAGGGTGCAGTTGGCCTGGAGTTGGCAGGCTTTCTTAGACTTGAATGAAGCTGAGACGAAACAGGAACTAAAATGCTCAAGATAAAGTTAGTGTAAATGTGGCAGTAGGCTGGAAGGCTGACAGGGTCTCACTGTATCACCTAGCACCCATGTGGGTCAGAGGCGCACTTGCTGCTACAGTTCTGGGTGGCTGTGCAGGAGGACTGCAGTGACCTCTGCTTTTTCAGGTGGGGAGGTGGCGATGACACTGCTGGCCAGCTAGATGGCTGGAAGGGCTGGAGCTGGCAGTAGAGCTCAAAGATAACTGATGTCCTCATTTTTCTGCCAGGCAATTTCCATGTGAAAAAATCTGCATCCTTCAGTTCCAATTGTCTGACAAGTGAGAATGTGCGAGGTACAGCAGTCCCAAGGTGGCCCTTAGATTTTAGCACCTGATCATGATTTGGGGCTTTTGATTTTCTATTTTTACTGCTAACCTACTTCTGCTGAGTGCAAACTAGAGCAGCTGGCTTCCCAGGCCTGGAGAACGTGGGGCTTTTCTCAATTGTCTCGTGTGGAGGCTGCCGTCCACCCAAGCACCCTGGCCTTTGCCTAAGTATCTGGAGGACCAAGTTGAGGGAGGAGGGCCGTGGAGGAGTTCCAGATGAGGGGAGAAATAGCCCAGGTCACTTAATCCTGTTCCAGGCCCCGAAAGGTGGTGCAGCTCAGACTGTTGTGGGTGTTTGCGTAGGTAGCTATTGGATAACTCAGTCCAAGGTGTGGGCCAGATCTTACTCCATTTAACTCTGTGGAGAATACCTGATTTTTTAATACTGCCCTAGATACAGAAAGGGGGAAGTGTGTGTGTGTGTGGAGGATATAAGCATTTATATAGTGCCTACTATGTGCCAGGCACTGTGCCACTAAATGCCTTCACAAATATTATTTCATTTGATCCTCACAACACCCTTAGGAGGTAGGTTCTGCTCTTATTCTCATTTGATGGTTGAGGAAACTGAGGCAAAGAGCTATATGCCCAGGGTCACATAGCTAGTAAATGTTGGAGGCTGGATTTGAACTCACCTCTACTTGACTCCAGGCCCAGCACTATCCACTGTGCCATCAGCTGCCTATGTGATACAGAGACCTTCCTGCTTCTTCGCGCTCCTAATCAATTTTAATCCTCCATTCAAGAAATGTTTGTTGTGTGCCTCAAGAGTACAAAGGACCATATAGGCCCTTTGGATGGGTCAGGGATGACATAAATGACAGGAATATGGTCTCTTCCTTGGAGGTGTTTACAGTCTTGTGAGGGAAGATAAATGAATACAAAACTAATTCAGAACCATTCAGAGTAATTAATATAAGATAAAATGATATCAATCATCTACCTAAGCATAGTGGGCACCCAGACTACACTATGCAGAATAACAAGAAAAACAATAGCTAACATTTATACAGGGCTATGTGTCAGGCATTTGCTTAGCACTTTTACAATGATTATCTCACCTGATCCTCACAATAATCCTAGAAAGTAGGGTACTATTATTATATTATATTATCCTTATATTATAGATGAGGAAACTGAAACAAATAGAGGTTAAGTGACTTGTCCAGGGTCACACAGCTAGTTATTGTCTGAGGCCGTACTTGAACTTAGATCTTCCTGACTTCAGGAGCTCTATCTACCATAGCACGTAGCTGCCATTAGCGTGCAGAACAGTTGGTCAGGGAAGGCTTTTACAGGAAGCTGAGTTTTGAGTAAGATCTTAAAGGAAGTGGCCACAGGTTGCCAGAGAAGGGGGTATTCCAAGTGAGAGAAAAGGCCTGGGTAAAGAGGATTACCTAGTTGGATGCATTGTGACTTGATCCTACCAAGTAGCAAGACACATGTATGTAGGGGACCCTTCAGATTGTTAAGTCCCGTACGTCCTGCAAGAGCATCCTCTGCTAAGAGTAACAGATAGAAGCGGGCTGCTCTGCCCAGCCACAGGATGCTCTGCCCAGCCCTTGTCTGTGCCATGGGCTCAGGGGTACTCTAGGCCAGTTCTCAAACCATATTATCAATAGTGTAAGTGGATCAGCTACATAGTAGGAAGCGAGTGGTCACTGGCTGTACTTCTAGGAAAATCAGGACTGGGAGGTGAGAAAAAACAGATGCAAAAACAAACAGTCAGGACTCTCTGCTATCCTACCTACTGCCCCTACCTTATAAAGTCTACTGCTATCGAGAAGTTCCAACCTGTTCCAACTGTTTGGCAGAGAAAGAACTCAAAGCCACAATAAAACCGGAGCCATTTCATTATCTATAAGGCTATGGCCAAGACGAGGAATAAACTACCATTTGTGACATGGGGTTAGCCGAGGAAAAGCTGAGGACTGGCTCTGACTGTGAACGACAAAAGCAGCTCCTCCCGGCTCCCCTCTAGCTCAGTATTCAGGTAGCTCTCTGCTGGGCCAACAGCGCACGCTCCTGTGCTTGACTGGTTGGCCACCTGGTATTCAGGTTCATTTTTACATTGATTCCTAGTGCTTGTTTGGGCCTGAGGGAGCAACAAAAACATGGAAGTATTCAGACACTTCCTTTGTGCAGTCATCCATGTTAATTTAACACATTAGCTTAACACAAATAGCACCTACCTATACAACTACAATTAAAACCAAACCTAGACGATCTGGGGTATGAGCTTGGAGAGTATTCTGTTAAGATTTTAAAGGTGGCCCTCAGCCAAGCATTCTCTCTGCCGCCACCTCCATTCCCCTTTTTTAACATCAATATTTGCAAGATTCTGGGCTTTCTTTACCTCAATCAAACAAGGTTATAGCTTATTTCTTTATTATGAAAGTTAAGCCAACATTCAAAATTCTAAGTTAAGGATCACAGTCTATACTGTTTCTTTAACTGGGCCACCTATCCAATAAAACTGGATTTGTTCAGGGATTCTGCCTTGTTTCCAGTTTGCTTACTGAGTGATAGAGATCTGGTGCCTCTCACCAATTGTGGTAGCAGCATGGCCTCTTTATTGAAGTCCCCATTCACACCCTGGATTAACAAGTTACAGAGGAAGAAACCCTTAGATGTTCACTGGTTCCCTAGACTTTTCAAGTGAGGATAACTTCTTTAGGGTCAAAAAAAATTATTACCAAATGCTGAACTATTACCAGTTATTACCAAATTCTGAATAAAATAATAGCTGATATAACCACAATAGTGAAACCAATAAAAAATCTTGGGGGATCCTGTATATGGAGAGGGAAAGTTATTTTCCTGTTATAAGAAGAAAGGTTAATAAATTCTTCACTTTTTCCCCTGTACCTTAGTTCTTCGGGGGAACAGCCAGTGATTTTGACAGGTAACATGTGTAAGAAAAAGACTTCTACTAAATTCTATTAAATCGTTTTCCTTTTTCACTTAGAATATCAGCATTCTAAAATTCATAAATAATGGCCCAAGAATTTTTCTCTACATCACACTTTCACTGTTCCTATGATAGTGACTGTGGAAGCAAAGGTGTTTTTTGAAATGAAATGGCTCAAGAAAATGAAAGATCTTTTCTATCCAGCAACATATTTGGGGGGAGGTGGTTTCCTCTCAAGGTCTTATTCAAGGATGTGGGAAAATACATCTAAGACTGCTGCAATAGTCTCCAAGAGGTGTAAAGTGGGGAACCCAAAACAAACAAATTGAAACTGCTTACACAGAAATAACTTTCAATGAAAGTATGCTAGCTGGGCAGGAAATATTCAATGGTTTGACATGGAAAACTGTTCACACTGCTTTATGACATTGGGGGAAACCCTGATGACTAGCTAATCAGAAAATGTTAAATAAAAGTGGGTATGAGTGAAACACTTTCTGGATCACTAAAGATGGAGCACCTCTGAAAATAACTTCACCTTCCAAATAGTTGATTTCCCCAGTAATATGGTGAACAAGGGGGTAAGACTGCCTCATGCTTTACTTTGGCTTTGGTTATATTTGAAATAATAATCATTTTACCATCCACAGGTGAAATGTGTCCACAAAGGCACAGGACGCTTCTTAGCAGCAGCAAGAACGACTTAATGACTGTTGTTACACTAATCTGAAAAGTATATTACACACTTCACATTGACTTGTAAATAACTACTATAGTTTTTTCAATAGTTTAGTTTTCTCAAAAATCTTTTGTGTTGGGCAGTAGCCAAAGTGGCAGGGTTCGCTGACTTTCCTTCATATTAGTCAT